TCTTTTTTTTTTTTTTTTTTTTGCCGACCACTTGAAAATTGCTGAGGATCTCAGTGGACCATTTAATGATCTTTCCAAATATTGTTTGTACCATTAGCTAACTATAATAAAGTGCTTTGGATAAAAGCGCTATTTAAAAAAAAAAAAAAACCTTTATAATTAACTTTTTTTGTTTTACAAATAAAAGCACACAACTCATATTTTAATATCAGTAGTTTTCTTTCTAATGTGATGGATGTGCCCTCTCTCCCCCTCCATGGCAGCCACAGACCTGAGGCTGGGAAGGAGGGTCATCTGTCTCCGGCAGCCACAGCCCTGGAGCTGGGGAAAGTCGCCTCTTTCTCTGGCTGCCGCAGCCTTGCACGTCCCAAATTCCCCCCCCCCCCCCCTTCTTCCCACCCCACTCTCCCCTCCCACCTCCCCCCTATTCCTCCCAAGGCCACCCCACTATCCCCTCCCACCTACCCCCTATTCCTCCCAAGGCCACCTACCCCCTATTCCTCCCAAGGCCACCACCTCATGTTATATGTGTGTCTTCTCCAGGGTGCAGGCACCTAATTAGTGGAGCCATGCCTGTGTGGATCCACTAATTAGGTGGGTGGCCCTTCATTCTCTTGTGTGCGGCTGCCCAGGCGCGCACCTTAGAGGGAACTATCCGCGGACAATGAGTGGTCCGTGGACCACAGTTTGAGAACCTCTGGGCTAAACTATTTATCATAGTTAAACCAAGCCATGCCCCCAAATGTATTATACGCCCAACTGATTATAGCCATATATTTAAACAATACTGTGCTTCTGTCTGGGTAGGCCTCTGCAATAACTCCTGCATAGATCAGGAAGGCAGCCTCCCAATTTTTCCATGTTCCAGCCACCCTTTGATGCTCAGGCATTTCATTGCCCTCCTTGCTATACCCCCAGCTTATTGTCTGTCAGCACCTCTCTGTGCAACAATGGTTGATATGTCCACATATTAACCTCTCAAAATTGTATCCCTAGTACTACTGAAAAGTTGAACTCCCATTGGGTCAGCCACCCTAGCACAACCATACTCTAGACTGCCTGTTGGGGCACCCTCAGTGCCTTGTTGCCCCCCAGCTGTCCCCAAGGCAGCAATTCTATCCCATGAATTTGCAGTTCCTGGCAATGGGTGAGTTGAAAGATGCCCAGAAATCTCCCCTCCTTTAAGGGCTCCCACCCCCTGGTGAGGTGTCTGCCGCATCTGACTATCACCTATCTCTCAAACTGCAGCCCATGCTGGGCTTCCGCTACTATCCTTTCCTAACCCCCCAACTTATGGTTGCTCCCAGCTGCTGCAATACCTGAAGGTTAGCTTGTAACAGCTGTGTAATACCATTAGCACTCACAGAAGGTGTGTACACCCCAGAGATCACTGATACAGCTTCTAGGACACCCAATCCTCCCCATTGCTTATTTGTTACCCAACTAGGTTCCCTCCTCTCCTCCCCCATTTAAGTCCTGAGCAGTAATGTGGGTCAGGTCCCTGAAACCCACTGAGGTCCCCCCTATAGACACCCATTGCTGCAGTGGGTGAAGGGGGCTCATATTTGCACTCTATCTTTGCAACCTCCAACTTGTGCTGACCAAAGTCACCCCCGCCAGCCGTGCTGCTATCCTCTCCTGCAAACCGTTAAATAGACTGTCCCAGTTCTGGGTGACCCATTATACCTTGCAAGCCCTGCTGTGCTGTGGAAACAATTTCCGAAGCAACTGCCTGGACCACTGGAAACAAGTCTCTGATGGCCGCCCTGCTCGCAAACACAGCCAGTTCACCACCATGGGTGTTTGCTTCCCCATGATCTACATTGCCCCTCAGCCGAGGGGAATCCAGTTGATAAGCAGACAAACCACCCTGGGATCTACCAACCCCAGACCTCCTGGGTCCTGCCCTTTGCCTATGTGGCGAGGATCCCATCCCTTGGCTCCCCATGGCCTCTCCAGCCCCACTCTGTCCACCCTGTGCGGGGTTTGAAAATCCCTCCCTTCTCTGCTGTAGCATGCCTGCTATGCCTGGCTGAGAAAGGGGAGTCTCCTCTCCCCTTGCTCTCACCCACCTGCTAGAGTTTACAGAGGTGTCTGCCGAAGCCAAACCCACCAATTTCCTATTACTGCAGCCATGGGCTGGCAGGGCAGGGGCTCCTCCCCCCTATCCTCCTCCATATCCTGGCTGATCTGTTATG